TTCCCACATAAGTTGTGGAGTTTTATACTAAAATAAAAATTTCACTGCTAATTTATAAATGAAACACTTTACTACAACTTTGATTGAGTTTATATTGAAAATCGTAAAGAAGAATATTTCAGTGTATTTTTATGTTGGGTTTATATATTTATATATATTATATTATTGCATACATCAGCATATTATATGCATTATTATATAACTTTTAATTAACTTCTAAAATTTTCTTATGTTTTTTGATAGCATTTATTCAATCAAATTTTATAATTACAATTGTCTGTTAAGTCATTTCACTTGTAATTTAACAATTTAATTTTTATTTTACATAAAACTGCACAAAATTTTTTTAACCTTAAGATTATGAGTATGGACAGAATTTATATAAAATATAAAACATAATAACTTTTTATTTGTGCAGTTTATTTTTATTAATTCAAAATTTATTCTTATACTTTATACATACATCAAAACATATACATAAGTCACAATCTGTACACTTCTGTTTTTCTATTTTTTAAAGGGCAAACATAATTTATATTCATAAAATTAATAACAAGCCCTAAATTTTCAAGTCCATTATTTTGTCAACCAAAAATATAATCTTTATATTTTACATAACCAACAATTTATATTCTAATAATCTTTTTTCATATTACTAAACTCATTAAAAATATATAAAATGTACAAATGTTAAATTATTATTTTTGTTATCCTATCATTATAAAAATACAATTTATATTTAACTAAGTCTCCTATAAAATTTTTAAACACATTGCATTTGTTTATCATTAAAGTAAGTAAATTAGTATCATTGTTATAATAATATTGATGTACATTTTTTGTGTTAAAACATAAAAAACGGTTATAATCTCTATCAACTGATCCAAAATTTCTGGATTCCCATGGAATGCAACTGCAGATTTTTCCAAAATAATGTACCCCATTTTCTTCTCTACGAATGTATCTACAAATTAGAAATTAAATGAGAATTACGTTCTATTAAAATTGAAGAATACGTTTCTCGAAATTCCTCATAATTTTGTGGTGAACCTTTTAATTTTTTATAATGTAATAATAATTAGATTTATCAACTTACTATGATTGCTATCCATGTCTATTAAGTTGGGGATGATTCGATTATTTCGTCCAAAGTAGTGCAAAGCTAAAACACAAATTAGATTAGATAAGATAAAAGTTCGATAATAATGACTTTTATATTTAAATATAAAAGTTTTGTTTATAAATAAAAAACTTTTTCAGTCCATACTCACCTCAAACTTTTTGTAAAACAAATTTTGATCCTCTTTAAAATGCATTATTACTGCACATATAATTTCTTCATCATTTATTTCATTTGCAAAAGAAGCTTTTTATTGTTTTGTTTTGCATAAAGTGTTCATAATGCACTGGATTCTCAGATGAAAATCTTTTTTTAAAATGCTCCGGTTTAGATTAGTTAATTCTGTAAAATATATGATCATGTGTACAATTATATTTTTAAAGCCAATTGAATTATATTTACATAGATTGCAAGAATAAGTAAAGAGTAACATTGGACGAGAATTTTTAATTCTGTTGACATAAAATCTGTGAAAATGTGACTGATAAGTTATATATTTTGAAAAATGTTTAAAACATTTTGGCCATAAACAAACGAAATCCCAATTTTTATCACTTATGCGGACATATATAAATTTGCTATATAAAAGCAAATTCTGACAAACAAAATCACAATTATTGCATTTAAAATTTTTAAAATTAAGTTTTAAATATTTTAAACATTTTAAAATAATATAAATTTTTTTTTTAATATTTTATATTATTACTATTTTTGAAATACTTAACAAATGTTTTTACATTTCAAAAAAAGCACACGCGATATGTTTAAAGTCCAACGATCAACTGATTTTAATATCATCTTTCATAAAATAACTTCGTATAATTTTTACACTAAAATGTTTAAATTTACATTTGTTTTTGTTTATATTTACACAAAATGTTTATTTTTACACTTTTATATGTGTAAAATTAAGTAAATAACATTTTTCTGTTGAAATTTACACATATTTTTGTGAAAATACACGATTTTTTGTTGAATTTTACACAAAAAGTTTATTTTTACCACTTTAATATTATTTACTACAATCACTGTAGTATTTTTACTATGGCAGTTCAATTTTAAACATGAGAATACTATAATAATTGTAGTAAATCGTGTTTAATTTTACACACTTTTTTTAGAGTGTATAATAAATTTTATATTTAATTACTTTTAGGACTAATGGAATTTAGTTCTATTATTCTGGATAAAATCTCATTGGTCGATTATATAACTCCCCCACCCTTACGATTTCTCCTGGACAAAACATTGAGGATCACTTTTATTTATATTCTTTAAAGGCTTTTCTTTTCTTGCTTTAATTAACATAAAACTTAAAATGATTAAAATAAAAAGCATTATTATTACAAAAGTTGTATTAAAATATGCTAAATTTTCATTAAAATTTCTTTTATTTTTAATTTCATGAATTTCTTTATTATTTTCTAATTGCTTTAGATTTAAATGCTCTAATTTAATTGTATTATTAATATTTTTAATTGTGGTATAATTCGGAACAACGATATTATACTTAAACTCTTTATTTTTGTTTGAAAATTTAATATTATTTATTTCAATAGTACAATTTGCACCCCTAATATAATATCGCCACATTCCAAAATTTGAAGTTTCGAGATATTTAAGATTCAAAATTTGCAAAATTTTGTATGGAAACTGAAAACAGCCACTTTTTAAGCTATGGCTGTTTTTCACAAGTAGTTAATTTTTTCTTTTGTAGTAATTTTGTTTAAGGTGTTATTTTACAAAAAAATATAGAATTTTGATGCCACTACACAAAATATTGCGCTATTATATTAAAAATTGAAATAAAATTCGTGCTTTAAAATCAAATATTGCGGTATTCTACCAAGAAAAAAATTATATAAGCGCAACAAAACGAAATTGTGAACTATTTTACTACATGCCAAATCGGTATACATGCATTTTCTTGAAATAAGTCCGTTTTTTACTAAAATGGGAGAATTATTTTATTAACATCGCTTGCTTCAAATGAAAATAAAGTCCTTTTTTACTAAACTAAAAATTGAAAACTTATGCAACAACTTGAAATGTGGCTAAATTTTTGTTTTTTTTGGTATGGTTTCAACATTTGAAAAACATAAAATATTGTTTTTATTTTTTTTTTAATAAATTTTATTCAAATTCTATTCAAATTTTTTTGAAAAAATTTTAATTTAAACATAACTGGCATTCTACCGTAAAATACTAATTATATTGACATTTTTTGAACTTTCATTTTTAATATTTTTAAAGTATTTTAATATTTTATTTTTTGTTTTGTATGGCAACTTATACATTCATAAATAAAAAAAAATATGAAAAACAAACTAAAATGGTGCTCAAACTTAACAAAATCTTTAATAGTTACTTATTTTTAAAATAACTTATTTGTGTTCTTCAACACTTTGTGTTGATATTTTTAAATTTTTATAAAAATAGTGGTGATTTTCAGGAATTAATAATTTATCGCACAAATCAGTCAGGTCTTTTTTTTTTTGGGCAGATATTCCCACTGGTTCCGAGAACACGTTGCTCATTTCTGTTGGAATATTTGAAGTTGATTTTCTTGTTTTCTGTTCAACAATATGTATTTCTGAAAAATCAGAATCATAATTTGTTTTGTAATACAAAATATTAGGATTTTCGTTTTGAATTTTTAAAATTTTTATGTCGCTCCATTTGACTTTTTCTTTTCTTGAATTTATGTTAAAGTTTTTTCCCAAATCCTCGGTCAGCTTTTTTAAGTCCAAGAAATCTTTATAGTTTAGTTCATTAACTTCATATGTTGGGTTTTTTTTTTTCGAATTTTGCAATATTATACGCCACTCCATTGGTGAATAAATCGGTCCAGCTTTAGCGGTTCTGCTTATATTTTTTTCAATCACGGAGTGCATTGAGTCTCCCTCATTTTGAGTATGTCCGACAATAAGAAATTTGTGCTCAATTGATTTAATGTTGTAATTTTTAACAACAAAAATATACATTGCAGCAATAAACTTATTTTTCTGCTGACCCATACAATTGTCCGAATAAAATATTACATTTTTATGTGAGCAATTAGTAGTTAAAAATTTAAATATACAAGTTCCTATCTCATTAGCTCCTCTTCTGCCTTGATCTTCATGCCATAAGTAGCAATAACCTTTTTTGCTTGCCATGTTGAACATAGTGAAATTATAAGATGAAAATTTGCGAGAATAATAAAAATTCGAAACGTGAGATGATGGTGTACTTAATACTGATTGCAAATCGTAGCACACTGTGATAAAATTTTCAGCATCAGCTGCGGAAATATCTTTATCCTTCTCTTTCTGTTCTCTTGATCTTGCTATTTCCTTCCTAATAGTACATAATTACATAATTTAGCCTTCCTAAAGTACATAATTTAGCTGGTTCAATATTATTCTCAGCGCACTTTTTTTTGTACAGTCTGTACATTTCAGCGATAGTTAGACTTCCTTCAATATATTCCCTTTCCGTTTGCTTCCTTATATAATGAGCTTCAATGCGTGGAAACGAATTAATGTGGTCCTTGATTGAAGTTAAAACATCTTCCGGTATTTTTTGGTGGTTATTATGTTTTCCTCTTCGATCTTCATCTATTGAATGTAGATTGTCTTTGATCTTCAAAATGGCAGTTCTTATGAATCTATCACCAACATCTAATGTCGTCATGAAAAATTTTTTACAGACTCTAGTTCGATCACCTTCAGAGTTGTAAAAATTATAGGCGTGGTTCAGTCCAATTCGTTTGGAGCCTTCTCTTGTATATCGGTATTTTGTGACAACCTTGTCAACATTTTTGGCAATAAAATTTCGTTGCAGGCTTAAATCACTTAATCCCCAAAAATTATCAAAAATTTTTTGACTCATAGTTTCATCAAACAACATATTGCACTTTGCAAGAGCCTGGACATGCTATTCTGACTTTTTTTTCAGGTATTATTTTACCTTTCATTGTTGTATACGATTTTCCCGAATTTTTGTTGCTTTTTCTTATATTTTGGCTCCAATTTTCCACATTCCGTTTTCTTTTCCTTGATTTTTTAACGCCCTCACAATTTTCGTTATTTTCCTCAGTACCATCATTATTTCTACTTATTACACTTACATTCTCGTGTTCTCTATTTTTGTTAGGATCAATGTTTTCTTCTGCACTGAAATTCGTTTCGTTTAAAGTGAAGTTGACTTCTTGATCGTCTTCAGGCTGCCATGTTTTATCTCTGATAGTATCGTCACTGCTAAAATCGTTTGAAATTTCGTCAAAATCTATAAAAGAAGGTATAATTTTAATAAGAAGAACTATTTTAATAAAATTTAATAGGAACAAAATTTTGAAATTAACTAAATAGTTAAAAATAATTTCCTCACCAGCATAATTTTGACTGGATGATTCTGTGATTATTGGATTCTGTGATGATGTGCAGGCTGCTACTTCTTGCATAATATTATGATTTTCTTCCGAAATTGCATTTAAATTTTGCTCCACTTTAAGAAAAATAAAAACATGTAGTATTATTCTTTATAACTATTATTTTCAAAAATACCTTTTTCTGCTTCCTTATATTTTTTCACTAAATCGACCAGCAATTTACCACGAGAACAATTATTCATTTTTTATTATATATTAGTACGATAATGTACTACACGAACGCAAATAAAATAAAAACTTTTTTAAATTTAAAAAAAATACTGGTACCTTTAAAATAGCTCTGATAGTTTTTTATTTGTTTAATTAAATTTTGAGTAATCTAAACACTCCAAGCACTCACGACACAATGAATATTTTATCTAATAATTATGTATTTTCTTTTTTTTTCTTTTAAATAAAAGCAACAAAGCTTCAAAATCGTCACATTATTTCGACAGGATCATTCTTGCAAAAAAAACCACAAAAATTGATAAAAGTAAAGTGCAACGGTATAAACTATTTTAAACACGCACTATACTAGAACATCTAATGTAATATTTTTTTTTCTATTTTGCTTTTAAGCAAATTCGCATCAATTAACATTATTACGTCTTATATTTCTCGGCAAGTTTATTCTTGCAAAACAAAAGAACAACAAAACAATGAAATAAAGTGCACTGATATGAAATAATGGACAATAATATTCAATAAATGTTATAATAAAATGAAACAAAACGAAATGCGTTTGTATTTGTGTGACAATATAATTCAAATTCATGTAAAAATTGATTTATTTAAGGGCACAACTAAAAATAATACAAATTTAACAACTATTTCCAAATATTAAAATGCCACATTTTTTGTTATGGCAATGTATAACGTCAAAATTTTGAAAATTGTGAATATAAAAGTGCCACAAAAGAAAATGGAACAAATAATTTACTAATTGAGCAACATAACACTGCTATAACTCAAAATAAAGCTATATTCAGCAAACTTAGTTATTAAATATTTAGAATTAAAGGTGGACAAGACTAAATAATGCAGTTTTTTATTTTCTGCTGAAATTTCCATACAAAACCCTCTTTCATAAAATATTTTCTACAGTGAATACTTTTTGTCATAGAAGAATGTTGAATAGACCAAAATAAAGCTAATGAATGCGCGGATTTTACTATACTATTAACTCGTTTTTGCAACATTTTGAGTTGTGGCGATATTATTTTAGGGGTGCATTGTTAAAGTAAATTATATAATTTTTATTTAGTAAATATGTTATATCTTTGCAATCGCTCTTTAAAGTATGGTTTTGAGCATTTATTATTAAAATCATACCTTTATTTATTTCTTCTGTTTTGTAACTTTTTTCAGTAGTTTTAGAACAATTGACATTATAATAAGGTTAGAACATATGACATCATAAAAAGGTTTGAAATACAATTTGAAGTTAATTGCAATTTTTTTATATATCTCTCCTGGGTAAGATAACATGTTTTATTTTTGAAAGATATAATATCAGAACTTGGAATATCAACTAGTTCAAAGTTTGTATTTGGTGTTCCAAATATTTTGTATTTAATAGCCTTTTCGGTGCTTAAAACTGGTATTGCTAAAACAAATACTAATTTATTATCATTTGTTGTTGCTAAGGAACTCTTAAGATCCTGAATTTTGAAAACGTCGATATTATAAAGATCTATTTCCTCTAGTGTTAAGATTGATCTACTCATAATTTGGTGTTTGGAGAAGATTACGTTTTCTTGGATTTCTCAATTTCGTCGTTTAATTTGTTTCAACTTCTTCCTGTTTGATCGTTGTAAAACCAGATTCTGTATTAAGTTTTTCTAATGTGATAATTGCAGTATTAGTGGGTAAAATAATGGATGACTTCTAAAGATGACTTTAATTTGATGGATTACCTGAAAAGAATTTATACTTTCTTTTAATTCTGGTAATGTGTAAATTTTGATTGTTAATATCAGTGATTTTATTTGTGTATTTTTTCACTTTAATTTTTTTTTAGCGAGGGTGATCTTGATAACGAACTATAGCCGGATTTTTTATTAATATTTCCGATTCGTTTGTAATTTCGAATTGTATTCTATCTTTATTTAATTTAGTAATAATTTTTTCTTTATTTTTATGTAACCTATCTTTAATTTCTTGAAGATTTTAAATTCTATTATTAATAAAATCTATTGGTTTAATTTTAGTTATCGAATGAATAGAATTATTATAAGCTTCTGCAGCTTTTAGAATTTTGCTTTGTGTATCTAAATTTGGTTCCGTTAAGGATAATATTCTAATATGTTCAATAAGAGTTCCATGAGCCCTTTCTTTATCTGAATTTCCTATATGACTTCTAGGCGAAGTGAAGTGAACTTCAATATTTTAAAGTCTACAAAAGTCTTTAATATTTAAATTATCAAACTCATTGTCAAAAATATATTTTAAAGGTTTCCCAAATAATGATTTTCTTTGTCTTAGGGCCTGAACTAATGTTACACTATTTCTATCATTTAATTTAGCAATACTGTGGTGGACAAAAATACTTCTTTTTTTAAATACTAATTGATTTGGCTCAGAAGGTGTTTCGGTTATATTAAAATTATATTTGATAGGTTTTCTATCGTATTTAGCTAAATTACAAACATCGCAATTATTTACGAACTTATAAATAAAATCTTTTAATTTTGGATAGAAATAACGATCTTTGACTTCATTAAAATTTTCTAATATTCCACGATGATTAGTTTTTTCGTGAAAATCTTTTATAACATTAATGAGATTATCCTCATTTTCTACATCTTGAGCTAATTTAGTACATTTAAATAATTCAATTTTTCTATTATTACCAAACAATTCAATTAATTTTTTCTGTAAAATATTAAATTTACTATAATCTAATTCGGAGAAAATTGCAGTTATACCTTCTTTTATTGTTTTCCTCAAAATATCGTTTAAATAATTTACATTGCATAAATCTTGTTCAGATATACGTATAAAAATTTTATAATATTTATTATATTTCACTATTATTTTGCTGGTTTTATTTTTTACAAGGTGAATCTGTTTTAAATATTTATTAACGATATTTTCTACAATCGGAATGTGGTCGTCGAAATCTTCGACGCCACTATGAATTGTAGCTGTATCGGTTTCAATTTCCAACTCATCATTAGGTTGCAATAATATATTAATTTCATTTTTTTCAGAGTTAATTCTACTTAGAAAATCGGCAACTTTATTATCTTTGCCATTCACGTATTCTATATCGTTTCGTAAAACATTCCATAGGAATCACGATGTCCGTTTCGTAAAACATTCCATAGGATGTCCGTAAAAACATTCCATAGGACTACTGATGCAAAGTCGCTTGCATCAGTAGTCAACGTAAACTTTTGGTTAAAATTAGGATATTTTAATATTGGATGGTTTTTAATATGTACTTCGGATTGTCAATTTCGATTTTATTACTCTTTTTTAAGCAATAAGTTCAGGGTTGAGCAATTTTTGCATAATCCTTTATAAATTTACGATAATACCCCGTAATGCCTAGAAAACTTTTTATTGATTTACGAGTATTAGGTAATTTAAGATTTTTAATAATTTCAATTTTTTTCGGATTAGGTTTAATTCCTTTATCGGTGAGAAGATGTCCTAAATATTCCGACTCCTTGGAAAAAAATAAACATTTAATAAATCTATTTCAATTTTTAAATTAAAACTTCTAAATCTCTCGAAAATTTTTGTAATAGCGTTTTCATGTTTTTGAAGAGAAGTACTGAATATTAATATATCGTTAAGATATACAACACAATTAACGTTTATGAAATCGCGTAAAACATGGCTAATCATTCTTTGAAATGTTGCAGGAGCATTCTTTAATCAGGACCTTGGGGAGTTGAGAAAGTCGTTTTTTGTTGATCTTTTTCGTTTACAAGGGTCTGATGAAATCCTTTAGTGAGATCGAGAGAAATATTGGGCTTTGCCTAACTTATCAAAGAGTGACTCAATATTCGGAATAGCGAGTTTATCTTCAATAGTTATGTCATTTAATTTTCTATAATCAACAACGATTCTCCACTTTTGGCTACCAGACTGATCTAATTTTTTTGGTAAAACCCAAATAGGTGAGTTGTAAGGAGAATTACTATGTTTAATGATACCTTGAGTGAGCATCTCTTTTACCTGAGTTTCTACCTCTTGCTCGTGAATTTTGGGAAACCTATATATTTTTGAATACATAGGCAGTTTGCTTGTAGTAATAATTTGGTGTTTTATACAATTTATATTAGTTAGTTTCTGACAATCCTAATAAAAAAAACCTTTATTTGAATAAGATAACTCCTACCCTTTGGAGTTAGAAAGTTTTATTCAAAAAAAAAACAATCTTAATAAAAAACCGTTATTTTATTTTAATAAAATTTTTAATAAAAAACTCTTTATTTTATTTTTACGTGTTTTTTATTCTAAGTTCAGAATAGTAATGAAATAATAAAATACAATTTTATAAAAAGTGTTTTTATTCTACCCGCATAACACGCGCTTCATTCATGATGTTGAAATATGCTGATGATGCGTTTTCAGTTAGTTGAGTTAATTTCAGCATAAAAAATGTTGCAATAAAGAATGTGAGAAATAAAATGAAATAAATGTTGAATTAGCTAAAATTGGACGGCGCGTGTAGCTAATCGTTGAGAAAGAAACTATAGGGTGTTAACTCCTCCCCGCTTAAAAATTGATTGTCCCCAATCAATCGGTGTTACAATTTGATGGTGCGATAAAAATTTCTCTGGGTAGGTTTTGGTGTTTTACTATGAGGTGTTTTACAGGGTGTTGATGTTGTGTTAGTAGTTGTCTTCAGTGGTGCCGTATTTTCTGTTGTAGTAGGGGATGGTCTGCTAATTTCTGGATTGTTCTTGATTACTATGGTTCCGGTTTTTCTCGAAATTTTTATGATGAATACTATGATAATAAACGTGATGACAATTGTAGCTGGGCCAAAACTAATAAGTGTTAACGTGGGTCCAGAAAAATTTCTTTGTTTCAGTAAATCAATTTGCCTGGTATTGTTAATGTGGATTGTTTTTAAATACTCCAATGATAGGTGTTCCTGAAATTGTTTAATGATATGCTGTGGTTGTAATATTGCCGGAAGTACTTGCACTGTTGATAGCTCCTTGGAAGTAAATTTTTCTCCATCTATTATTATTGAGGAACCATGGAATTTGATAACATATGTCCCATTGGTGTTGAGCTGCTCGTTATCGATGGTGATATTACCAGCATGCTGATTGAGGAGGATTACTCCGTCTGTTAGTTGTTCTACTGTTGGAATGTGATAACTGCTCGTCATGTTGCATGTTGAATTCTTTCCTCTTAGAAGGTTTGGTATGCAGGTAGAATTTTTTAAACTAATAATATTATCATTTTTACATATTGTTATATTTCCAATTATTTTACATTCTTTTATAATTTTGTACAAATCATCCTTTCCGTATAATATTTCCTTATATTCTAATTTTATTACAATATTATTTGTTTTGATAGGTTTTATCAACAATTTTTCGAATACATTATTTTTGGTTAAAGGTATTTCAATTAAATAAAATAAGCAAGTGTCGTTAGTGATTATTTTTATATTTGAAAAGTTTAGAGCTTCTTCAGCATTTGAATAGGGAAAATTTTCCTTGTCAAGAATTTTTGTTAAAACCTCTATCTCATATTTTGATAGTAAAATAGAGTTTATTATGCCTGATTTTGCCCAGTGGACTGCGTAGTTCAAGTTGACTACTTCTTCCTTGAGGAGCTTGAGTTTATATTGGATTTGGGTAGCAGAGCTATTGCTAAAGTCATGGCCTAATCGAATTTTTCTTAGAATTTCGTTTGTTATTTCGGTTATATTATTTATTCTGTCACTGAAGATTTGGTTGATTACTGTCTGTCTATTGTTATTTTCCAACATGTTGTTCATTTTTCGCTTAATCATCAGGAAGTCGCTGTGATCTGGTGTTCCCGCAATCCATTTCCATGCTGTTCCTAGACTATCAATTGCTCGTTTTTTCCTCTGTGTTGTTAGTTGGTCTAATAGATTTTGAATTTGTTGAGCCTCAAATTGGAGATAAGGATACAGTGGATGGGCCCTTGTGCTGCTCTCTTCTAGAATAGTTTCGATTTTCTCCAGAGCATTCCTCAGAACATTTAAGTTGGTTACATGAATCAACCTGAAGTTTCCTTCCTGGATTTTTGCTTTACCTAAGTTGACTGCAACAATCTGTGATCCTGTGTAGTCTAGTATTTGAACTTCTGCCAATGCTCCACAAAGTGAAATCCTAAAAGATAAATATAAAAAGAAAAAGAAGTAGGAATCTGGTAAAATGAGTTTGTTAAGATCTAATGTTAGCTTTGTGCACTACTCTGCCTGATTTAGTTAAAATTGTGGTATCTCTATTTGTCGCTACGATTTCCTTCTTATAGCGAAAGGTCAGTTTTGTTCCCAGTCCTTTATTATGCTTTACATAGACTGCCTGTCCGATTTCGTATTGTTTAATAGGTTTTTTACTTTTATTATGAAATTTAATGTCCTGTGCTTGTTTGTACTTCAGTTTTTCTATATTATTCAAACGCGTTTTTTCGAACTCTGTAGTAAAACCACTACCGAAGAATCAATTCGGAACAATTTTTCTGAATATGGTACAATTGAAGACATCTGGATTGTGAAAAATAAACAATCAGGAGAAAATAAGGGAGTTGCTTATGTCAAATTTTCAAAGACAAGCGAAGCCGCTGCTGCCCAAGACGAATTAAATGGAAAAACAATTGATAATGAAGAACGTCCAATAAAAGTATTAGTAGCGTCAAATCGAGAGTCAGGTTCAGGAAGATCAGAAAATGAAGAAGAGAGATACTTGCGTTTGTTTACTGTAGTAAACAAACCAATGACAAAAGAAGAGATACAAAGTGAGTTTGAAGAATATGGTGATATAGAGTTCGTTACCTTCGTTAAGGGTAAAGTAACAAGAGAATCGAAGGGTTTTGCATACGTAAAATATAAAAATTTTACTGGAGCTGCAAAAGCCTATGAAAATTGTCCCCAAAAGTATAAAGCAGTTTTTGCTACACCCAGATCAAATGATTCATATGAAGATCGCAGAGCGCGACCGCTTAAAAGACCTGGAAGAGGAATGGATGTAATTTTTGTTGGACCCAGTATCGATTAGGAATTTAACAGTTTCCCCGTTCCGCAATGGATGTTCGATGTATGGGATCGAGGAAAACCCTAGTCCAAAAAATTGTCTTTGTCTTTGTCTTTGCACGAACAAGTGCATTTTGGACTGGCCTGTGGGTTTTTGGTTTCAGTTTGGTTTATCTTTTGGATTTTATTATTCCGATTATTTTGATAGGAAGCATTCCCTTTGAAGGGGTTGTTAGGCCTATTTTGATTTTGATATTTATACCGAGATTGATTCGATTGATGTGAGCTCGGTGGCCCTATCTTTGGCAGAGTTGTAGTAAATGTGTTAGATGGTCTCATGCCATTATGTTGGTTTCTATATGAGCTATTTCTCCACCGGCTCGAATAATTATTATTGTGTTGGTATGACTGGTTCCGCGCGTTCGGATTGAATCTAGATTTGTTTGGGGGCAGGTGGTTTCGCTTAGGAGGATTTGATTGTATTTGATTATTACTTGTTTGCCCTGAGCTATTATTGACGTTGTGAATCTTCAGACAGAGATGCAAGGCCTGTGGTAAATCTTGTGGCTCTCGCATGCTCAGAAGCCTTGGCAAATCCCCATTCAAACCACGAATAAAGGTGTTCAGTGCCTTGTTTCTATACATTTTAGTTATTGCTGATCGCGCATCTGTAGTTAAAGGCATGGAGGATAACTTTTCTATCATAAGAGAGAGATGTTGATAGATTTCCTTGTAAAAGTCTTCAATTCTCGCCCCCCTTTGTTTTTTCCTTCCCAATTCATCTTCTAAAGTATCCACGTCTCTTTGGTCAGCGTAATGCATGTTTAAACACTTGACCATTCTACTCCAATTTAGGGGTGTATTATATGACTCTAAGGCCATATCAGCGCTTCCTGTTATCTTACTACGAATGGTATGGAGGATTCCAAGATACTTAGAGGTGCCTCTTAAATTGTCGTAAATTCCAAGTACTCTTTCGACGCTCTTTCTCCAAGAGCCATATTCACCAGGTTCACCTGAAAATTCCCTTATTCCCTTGACTATGTCGGGTATTCGGTTCATACCTTCCAAGTCTCCGTTCGTTTGACAAATGTCATCATTGTCGTCGCCCTCGTCATATTCGTCGTCCCCATTGATCGTCCCAACCCTGTCCATTAACTTTCTGGTCTCATATTGGATCATTTCCCTAATTGCATTTCGAAGAGACTCACTATTTTCAAATAAGTCGTCCCTTGAGATTGGACTTGCCTCTTCGGCGTCCATCTCGGGGATCTCTGGGGTTGAAATTCTGCAAGGAGATCTAGAAAATCTTACAGAGGGTGGAGCACTCATTTTTAGGGATGAGAATTAATTAAAAATTTGTAAACACGAATTAAGTTCAATTTAAGTCAGTTAAGATGGTAAGGAAAATTTTCCGTATTTAATTTTAATAACTTAATTGTTTATTCAAAACTTGCTTATTTCGTTTAATTTTGATAGTAAGTAATAAAAATGATAATCCTGTGAAATTAGAAATTTATTTATTAAAATTTTATTTTCTTTGATAGTAAAACAATAAAAATTATTATCCTGTGAAATTAGAAATTTATTTATTGAAATTTTATTTTCTTGAGTAATATTTTTTTTTCAAAAAATTATTTCCTAAAATAATAAGGATGATTTGTGGTTTCAATGATAAAAATTTTATTATTATTTTGAAATCTCCAGTTTTCTATTTCTAGTTGTTTAATTTGATTTTTAATTTTTACTAAATTTAATCGGAATCGGAAAGTTTTAATTTTTACTAAGCATCGGAATCTTTATGTTTGTTTTAATCTTTTATTCTTTATACAGTTTTTGTTTTAGTTATATTTTTATTATTATTTTTTTTTTTATTTACATAAATATTAAATGCTATTACTATTTAATGATTAAAACGCTGAGAAAAATTGGAAATTTCAAATGAATTACACAGAAAAATTTTTGGGAAGGAAAAAAAATCGATTTATTTATTTTTTATCTTTAATTTTTTGTTTAAATCTTAATTACCATTTAATTAAAAGGAAATCTAATTTAAAATTATTTAACCTTTATTATAATTTTTCCTTTTTCACAAAAATTGTAACAATTATTATAATCTATTTAATATTTAATGCTTTAATTCTTTATTATTATTTTAAGACAAGAATACAGAAGATTTCTTCAATATTTTTGTGGATATTGTGTAAGGGATATAAATTATCAAATATTTAATCCTTCTTTTTTTGTTTTTAAAAATTTAATTTGCGTTTCATTAGTACTATTAGTAGTTGATTTTTAGGTTAGTTAATTTAGTAAAATTAGTGAATTAAATTGTTAGTAGAGCAATTTTAATATAATTTTTATCTATAGAGTTTAAAAGTTCATAAGCACTAATATTAAACTAGGCACTATAATTTCTATTCTACAGTTAATAAGCTAGAGCGTATGTTTAAAGATTAATGAGCACTATTATTACTTTGAATTAGGTTAAGCATTAAATTTTCTATTTTTTTTTGTTGTAATTTTCTACGGTTATTTCTACTATATTTTAATTTCTACAGCTGATCAGCGCAATTGATTTGTCTTAAGATCTTTTATTTTTATGTAATTGCAGTAATTTGTAAAAAAAACTCTCTCTTTTCTCCCTACAGATGGGGATACTTGTTTACGAGAGTAGGATCCTTATAATTTTATATCAATAATTTTTATTCAAAATCTTTGTACTTTTATTTTCTTTAACTTTCTTTATGTTTGCAATAACAAGTTTCTTTGTAATTATTTATTTAGCTTGTATGATATTTAAGTGAAAATTTTTCGAAATACAGGTCTCCTTTTCTCCTTTTATTTAAGGATACTTGTTGACGTTAACTACCATGAAAACCAGTTGGATTGCCATCTGATTAGGTTCCACCTGCAGTCTTTTGCTACAACGAGTGGGCCGCTGTTAACTGACACTTTGTAGAGTCAGGCTCTAAATACCGCTCACCCAGACTCAAGCGAGCTTTAAGTATTGGTAGTCTTTCACAGTATTTTTTGCCTGCTCCGTGCAGCAACTCCGTTTTATCTATTTTTAGATTACTCCGGGGCACCTTTTCCCACTCTATTGTTGTAGCAAATTCGGCTTTTCGCCTACTTGCTGCGCGTTATGCAGAGGGGAATTCTTCTAGCACTGTTGGAAATTAATTGTATTTACTGTTTATTGAATCTTAAATTTAATTTAATCAAAAAAAAAAAAAAAAAAATGTTTTATTATCTTTAATTTGTCTCAAGATTTTGTTAATTTTATTTTTTGAACTCTTAAAATTTATCTCTTAAAAAAAAAATTTTTGAACTTAAAGTTTCCTTTATTTATTTCAATACTTCACAAGTTTTTATCTTCTTTTTTTTTATTTTTTGTTCCAATACTTCACAAGTTTTTACTTTTTATTACTTCTGTTTTTGTATTATTTTTTTCCAGGTTTTTCTATATTTTTTTATCTTTTATTTTTTTCAGTGCTATTCATTCACAACTCTCATAACTTGGGTGGTCCCTGCTCGGGCGCCAGATAACTCCTACCCTTTGGAGTTAGAAAGTTTTATTCAAAAAAAAACAATCTTAATAAAAAAAACCGTTATTTTATTTTAATAAAATTTTTAATAAAAAACTCTTTATTTTATTTTTACGTGTTTTTTATTCTAAGTTCAGAATAGTAATGAAATAATAAAATACAATTTTATAAAAAGTGTTTTTATTCTACCCGCATAACACGCGACTTTTGTATTTACGTAACCGAATTTATAAAAAAAAAATATATAAAATATATTTTTTTTTATTCTTTTTATTTTTATTTTACCAAAACCTTATAATACAATATTTTATTAATAATTTATTAGAACACAATTTATTTTATATTTAATTTTTATTTATTATTATTATTTTCTTTATTAACAATATTATAGTATTCTTTTATACAAGAACTGAATTTGAGAAATTACACGTTATGTTTATAACTAGGAATTAAAGACTATTACTCTATTGAATTGAAGACTATTACTGAATTAAAACTATTTTTCTTCTCTATTTATACTATTTTAATTTTATGATCTTGTTTATTATTATTAATAGACAATCTTTTGTTTTCAAGATCATTTACAAAATTGTTATTTTATCTATCAGGAATAACATGGAATATTTTTATATTGTCATATTTATTTAAGTATATTTTATTCTTTATCATTTTCTTAAATTTAATGTTTTTCAATATCAAGAATAAACATGTTTTTATTACTTTGTTTATTTACTTTTTCTAATACTTTATCGTATTTGTTTTGACAACATGTTGACTCTTGATTTTGTTTATTAACATTGTTTTCAGTAGGTTATCCTTATCTTTATTCTTAACTTCTTTACATTTTAAAATACTAATATTATTGTCAATCTTTATTATGATGGTCTTTTTTATTATTCTTTGTTTCAATCATCAATAACGGTCTACCTAGATAATGTTATTATCTTTCTTTGTTCTTTTGTCAAGACATGTTTCGTTTTGTTTACTTAAAATATCTGTTACTTTATTATAAGTAGGTACAATATTATTTAATGCGTTAGTGTTAGGTAAGGATGTAACTTCTCCCTCCCTTAGTCTGGAATTCTCCTGAATTCCATTTTTAGAACAGAAAAATTTCTTTGTACAATACATGATAAGAATTGTTAATGGGACTGACATTATTTTCAAAATTGTTAACATTATTATATTTTGCCCTATTGACATAGTTTTAGAATTATTTGTTGATTCCTTTATTTCTTTAATATTATTTTCAAATTTTAAAATTATATCTTGAAATGTAATTTTGTCTGTAAAATTTATATTATTAATCGTGTTTGGGTAATAAAACCTTTCTTTTACAATATCTCTGGTATTAGAAAATTCGTTATCTAATATTTTTAAAGTACAGTTGTTGTAATGAATTAATACATTACCATTAAGAATTATTTTTCTACCATCACAATTTTGTTGAATTGGTAAATCATGTGCATTTTTTACA